GTTCACTATCACGGCAGTCTCCTTGGCAAGGCTGTCTTGACGTGTCTACCGCAGTACTACATGCAGAACCTGTTCCCTCGTGGTTGCAAGGTTACAAGCATTCTGCTGTTATGGGGTGAGTCTCGTGCGGATGTCGGCTGAGAAGGCTGAGCAACTTCGATTGCGAGATGCGGAGAATCTGGCAAACTTCCTTGGCCTTCACTCGCCGAGGAGGCTCCGCTGCGTGACGATCTCCAAGCCAGTTCATGCTACTCAAGACTTCTGGAGCTTGAACCTTGTGTCTCTTCTCATTTTGGGCATGGCCCTGCATAAACAAGACCAAGCCATTTGTAGCATCTTCATCTGCAGCAATAATGTCGCTGCCATGAAAGCACAAGGCAGACTCCACGGTTTGTGCAAGGTCAGACAGAAACTGCTTTGAGCACTTGGCAAAAATCTCAAGGCTACGAAGCCTGTGAATGCCGCACCTCTGCCACTCGCGATACTCCGCATTTGCCAACAAGTCAAAGCGCTTCTTCTCGCGTGGGGCCCGCTCGACAGCTTCCCGGAAGTCATCGACCTTTAGTAGGAGGAAGATAGAATCGGTCAATGCCACGGCTTGCCTGTAGAGCATAGCATCGCTTTCAGTATAATTCAGGACCGCTGGCTCGTTGAAGACTAGGCAGTATGGCCCCGCCTTTGCCTGAACTGTACCCGTCGTCGGCTCGAGAACTGCAAGGGTCTCCGGCAAATCGTAGAGTTCCTCCACTTCGCTTGCCGAACTGGACTCTGTGCTGGAGCTTCCGCTGGAGAGGTCAGAGTTTTCTTCATTCTCTTCATCCGACACCGAGCTGCTGCTACTGCTGCTATCTTCATCCAGCACAGGATATTCGAAACCGGACATGGACTTCGTTGCAGCAAAGGATTTCAGCTGCTGAAGCGTTGTTGGGGACATTGGCATGTCGGGGCCGCTCAGCCGCTTCTGGGCCAGGCGGCTCTCCTCAGCCTCGTCCGAGAATTCAGTGCTGCCAATGGTCACATGCGTGGTTTTCCTCCTTTCGAACATCCTAGATTGGGTACCTGATCGAAGTATGCTGGGGCTTCCGGGCACCTCGTCCTGGAGCTGAAAGGCATCCGTGCTGACTTTTTCCACCAGAAGACTTCCCACAAGCACTACTTTCAGGTACTGCCTGGAAGTGGTCGGAGACCAAACCACGTTGTGGGCTCTGACATGTCGAATGGATACCTTCTTTAGCAGCTGCTTGGCGAAATTCGGGCCGCAATGAGAGAGCAGTAGCAGTTTTGAAACCCGAGGCCAAAGAATTCGCCTCTCCTGCTGGTCAACGAACTCATCCATCAAAGGCCCTGCAGAGGCATGTAGCTTGATTGTTTGCCGAAGATCTGCGGAAGGTAAGCACCAAGCAATAACCGGAACTTGCAAGACTTTGATGGTGAAGGGCTGACGGTCGCATCGACTGAAAGCCACAGAGTCACCAAAAACACTGCCATTCTCCAATGTGCACAGTGACTGCCCACTCTCAATGACTTCAACAGCTCCACGCGTCAAGATCCATAGGTTTGAGAGGTCAGTTGACAGTGAACCCTCGTTCAAGATTACACGGCCCACCGTTGTAAACACCCATCGCTTGGATGCACGGGATATGCCCAACACAACCTCAGATATCAAAGGATCAGACGGTCACGCCCGGTCACGGTCAACAGCACTCTACATATTCACATCAAGCACAAAAACACACGCGCAGCGTATGACGTCAAGAGGGTTCGATTGTGACAAGCTGCCTCTTTACGTAAACCGCGGCAGAATGGGTGCGCAGTCAGCACCTCGAAGCTGTCTGTGTCAATCTCAGCAAAAGCGGGCTCGAGGAGATCTTCCATGACGACGATGACGCCATCGTCAAAGGCCTTTGCAAATACTGACCTGAGCCGTGTGAGGAGCACGTTATTACCGAAGTAAGTTAAGAGGACCAAAGCTTCATTTCGGTGGCCCTGCAGCCCGGCGACAAAACACACAGGAGCGTCGGGGCAGCCAGTCTTTGGCCGTACGTCCAACATGTCTGCGTGATTCGTGTGCCTTATGCTACGGTGGCTTGCCTTGGCAAATGTCATGTAGGGTGTGAAGTGAGACTCGATAGAACTACCCATATGACTCGAGCTGGTAAGCCGGTGGCTCTGGTGATCAGGAGTCCACTTTTGCAAGAAACCTGCAACATTGAAGGCACTGACTGGTGGTGCAATATGTGACAAAACTGGCTTTTTTCCCCTTTCTGCGACTGTTGGCGCGCCATCGTGAACTTCTCCCGCGCTGGCGGGCGCGTGCCTATGCATCGGTGGGTGAAGAACATTTAAAGTGCAGCATTTCGACCAATGACTTATGGCTATGGCCTGCAGAATCGTTTGCGCTGTTGCTCCAGAGTCCCGCGGAAGCTGTAAAGGAGGAAGCGCTTCCTCCATACCTTTGTGCTCGCTTTTAGTTTCTACTCGAACTTTGCCAGCAGAAAGGCTAAGGCAGGAGACCTGTCTTTGCAACTGCTTTGAAGGAGAAACAGCTTGCCCGATTGATTACTCCGGTCCTGCGGCCGGGACCAAGGGCCACTGTTGAACTTGACTTGGAATGGCAGAATTCAAGGGGGGCGTAGAATCTCTGAACTTGAGAGAAGGTTGGACAAGTGTCAAAGACCTCAGCAACTCCTGGTACAAAAGGAAGCTTCACCATGATGGATTTTTATGCTCGCACATGCCTGCCACATTGCATCGAAACGCAGCGAGCCCAACCACCACATGAATCGAGCTTGACTGAACATCACCTGTACACACTGTACAGCTAGACTCTGAAGTTGCCCACTGCAACGGCGTCCTTGCATCGCGCAAGGTAGAGAAGTGCATCTGCGGATCGCGAATGAGCTTGAAGCCAGCGGCCTTCTCGGATGCACAGCAGCGTACGATCGATCTATCTATTGCACTTGCGCAGAAAAGGGTGTGAAGATGTGTGAAGCATGCCTCGACATTAAGCACCCACTCCGGAGGCGCTCCAGCCCGTGGCCTGGAAGCCAGGGTTCACGTTGACGTTCGATGTCGCTATATCCCGAAGATTGGAGTTTGCACTCTGTGGTGCTCGTGCTCAGGTGCTCACTGATGCCGAGTACTGTAGGTCCGTAGGTCTTGAGTCTTGAGAAGACCCAAGTCCGCAACATGCAACAATCGTTCCGGCACTGTAAAGCCACGCCCATGCCTTCCAATGGCAGCAACCTGGGCCATCTGGTTTTCTGCTGCTCAAAGGCTCTGAAGATCCAAGCAAGCTCTCAGCCTCCCACAGTATCTGCCACGACAAGGAGCCCCCGACCCTCTGTCAGCAGCTCCCGAGCCTGGCATGAAACTTTGCTTTAAGCACGGCCCGCCGGGCCTGCCATGCATCCGCACATGTTGGCTCTTGAAAACTCAGACTGCGCAGAAAACTCGAGAATCAATTTGAGTTGGGACGGATGCAAGTGGCCTTCGAAATGACCAGTGTGCGGCTGTTCGGGTCAGGCATGTACCTCTGTCAGCAAACAGGTCCCTGTGGCTGCTATGCAAGACGCGCTCGCAACGCACAGCTACAGCAAGACATATCAAGAATCCTGCAGCTTTGTGATCTTCTGAGCACGCCAGGGCTGCCATGAAAAATCTTCTGATGCAAAACCTATTATTTAAACTTATTGCCTTGCTCGGGTGTAACTCAAACGACGGCCAAGCCTGCGATACGTGAAGCCTGATGCTGACAGCAAATAACAAAGTGCAGCGCAGCAAGACTCTTGAAGAATACTACCCACTGTTCTGGCCAGCAATTCGTCCAAGACTTTGTTTTGGTGGTCTGCTGCACAGTCGGGTACTCGACCGATTGATGTTGACGGCAACTGCTCCAAACAAGCTGCAGCAAGGCTTTTGAAGGATTTTGAAGACAAGTATTCATTCTTCTTGGCAACAAGTCATGCTGGTGCCCCACAGCGCCGTTGCGCGTCACAGACCGACAGAGGGCCACCACATTGCACGTTCATGACTGGCACGCCTGTCTCCGTCAAAAGCTCCTCGAAGCAAAGCTCTCGATCCTTGGCCACCCTTTTCTCGAGTGCATTCCGTTGCATTCTGATTCCAGTTCCGAGGAAGGTGTTGAGCTTTCTCATGTGTAGAGCCTCTTTGTGTGTTGTGCCTCATCTGCCGAGGGAAAATTTTGGCAGGCACACGGCTGCCGTGCCTGACCGTACCGACGCTTGCACCCCACCCCCATGAAGTACATAGTACCGGTGAACTGCTTGAAGTCTGTGATGACGCCGACAGCTTTGTCATTTGTGCGAAATGAATCATCCGATGTTCGACGATAAGTCGGTGTCGGCAATAATGTAAGATTGTTGCGAAGCTCAGCCTGTAACACTTGGCAGCCAGGTCGCGACAGTAGCAAGGCAAGCAGCACCACATCAAAACCCTGAGGACCAGGGTAGACAGCACTTTGTGGGAGTCAATGGCGCATCGTTAGCAGGGTGCTATGATGGCAAAGAGGGGCGACCACTGGGCTCTGCCTCTAACATGCGCATCACATGTTCATCCTTACAAGCACTACACTTGGCGCTTCAGCTCTGACATACAGTGTCACTGTGCCCGAGAGTTGCCTTGGCTGGGAGCTGCTGCAGCTGACGGCCCTGCGACGCTTCGAAGTACTACTGGCTACGGCTACGCTGACGTAACGCTGCCAATACAGCTGGATGGCTGGAAACGCTGAGTCATACGGTTGATGCCCAAAATCCTGCATCGGTTTAAACTTCCCCACGGCTCCCCTGCTACCCCCAATTTTAACATTGCACTGACACAGAGTCTAGAAAAAGCGTTTGCGCGAATGCCCAAAATCCTGCATGACCCCAGGGTGATGCAACATTGAAATTCAGGGGCTGCGAGGAAGTGGACAGCGCGACATCACATCTGTGTGATGCTGAAGGTCATGCAGGATTTTGGGCATCAACAGTACTGAATGCTTACAAGGTGAGTTTGCCGCTCGGTGCAGCCTGCGCTGCCGGGCGACTGCCAGGTGGGCCTGTACGTGCACATCCGACTAACACGGAGCGGCAAATTCCAAGACCCGGATTGACACATATAGACACCATGATACTTGCACAGTGTGGCTCATTCTGGGAATTACTAGTAGCTGGACTTCCGCACCCTTCAAGTCTGATATACTCGCAGCACATGCCTATCTTGACGTCAAGGACATCGCATTGAAGGACCGTGTCCTCTGCCGGAGCCTTGGTCGACGCCACCGTAACCCTGCACGCTCTGTTCGGTGATGGAGTGCTTGCCAGCACTGTGCCGAGATACGCACCAAGTCAATTGCTGTGACGTCAAAACGGTCACTGTGGTGGCCTAGAGTTTCGCCCCCGACATGTGACAGCGGGCTGTGGCTGGAAGTTCGCTTGGCAACAGCAACTTTACTGCAATCTATCCTTCCTTGAGATCATGGCGGCCGAAGTAATCAGCACCTTAGCGCTAACGCACATGAACGAAATGGGGGCTGCCGCTTTTAGCTTCTTGCTCTGTAGAGCTTACAGAGTTTTCAATTCGCAGCAAACTTCGGACAACGAAAACACTTTCTGAGCCCGTAGCAACTGCCCATATCCAGCAGCCGCAATCGTGCCCCAGCCTCCGGCAACAGCTCCTGACAACGCACTATTAAGAGCACATTGACTCGTAGGTAGGCACTGATCGCCGAAGTCCACACTCCCCGCAAGTCTTCTCGACTTACTGAATAGAAGAATCTTTACCAGTCGTGGTCTGCACGCGTCTCTAGAAAACATGTTGACAGACACCTCGGCAAGCTGCTCTCTGCGCTGGAGCACCTTTGGCCCCTGAGGAGGAAACAAATCAAGAGACCAAACAAAAGCTGCGTCATCTTCCCGCACCTGCCGCAAAGCTGCCGACAGCGCCGTCTCCTCGGCCGATCTCGGCTGTGTACGGCAAATGCAAGCTACGACAGGAGAGTGAATTAATTACAAGTCGCCAAGACAAACTTGCGACAAAATCATAGAGCAAAAAAGCAAGGACTTTTGCTCTTCAAAGGCACTCGGGTGTTGTTTCTGTCAGGCTGTGAAAAAGACTCCCCGCCCATCCGCCACCTGCTGCACCTGCCAGCGACCCCCCGCACGCCCTTGCATGTCACTGTCGTTCAGGCACATCGCAGGCTTCAGCATCAATGTCCCGAGCAAAAACGCAACTTTCTGGACCACTGAACAGGATTCAGCTGGAGCTGTCGCGTTAGAACTCGACCATTGGCTTGGCCAGGTTTGCGAAACCGCTTGAATTCCCCTATGCGAGCAGGATACCGCCAGCACATTGATCAAATTACTGCATGAAGCCCTCCTTCATAGCAACATCCACCCTCTGTTCAAGACACATCGCAAAGGCAATTATTGGCGCTTAGCAGCTTAGCACCTGCACCTGCTGGGCAATGCAATGATTCCCTTTCTGTCTCTCTCTTTCTCATTCTCGTTTCGCCCCAGGTCTGCTGAGGGACACCTGGGCGCATGGCCCGTGGTCTGTCACCAGAAGTGCCGTAGATCCAGCGATGCCGCTCCTTGTATTGCGCTGCTCAGTTTATCCGCAAAAGGCTACGGCATCAAGAAATCTGCCAAGCATCTCCTTGGGGTCAAGAAGGAAATAGTACGCGATCGCCTTGGCCGCATTCAAGAGTCTTTCTGGAGCCAACTTTTCCACAAATCTGCCTCGCCGCCTCGCCTCTGCGCACCACTCATGGAAAGCAACATTCCACCTGAAAGGGCAGAGAGTCAGGGCGGGGAAATATTTTTGGGCATTTTACGCATCTTCTAACCTTTTTCATATAAAGCTCGGTTTCAAAGAGCACCGAGCCCAAGGCCGCTTGCGCATGTTCTCCAGCGCTGCATCGCGGTAGGCGGACGCCAAGTCCTCGCTAGGCCTCCAGGGCAGAGGCAGATTCCGGCCGGGACCTAACGAGAGTGTCGCTCCAAAAACTGAATCCGCACCTACCGTCCTTCGAAGACCGCAGGACCTGGTACGGTAGCAGCTCAGCAGCAGTCCCCTAGCAGCGAATGCAATCGACACTTCCCCTCGTGTGACCTCCTCGTGAAGCTGGCCAAATCGTCGGCTCAATCGCCTCAAACGTCGTTTTTCTGCGATGGCCTGGAGGCTCATGCCGAGGAAAGCACATGAAAGCACGTCAATACAGGCATTTCTGATGCAGATTCAAGGAAGTCAGGCCATCATGCAACAAGGAAACAAGGTTGTTGAACTGCTTCTGTTCTCAGGTTCGTCTTTCCCGTCGAACTGCTCGCAACTTGTTGCCATGGCTGACTGGAACAATCGAAACCTTCTAACCTTTACTACTGTCTGTGGTTCGTGGAGTAACGCCCGGTTATACGGCATGAGCTGCATAATACCATGAACTGGCATCAGAGAAATGATTTTGCAGGATATAGTGTTTTCACGACCTTTATTTGTCGCAGTCTGTAGCCTATCCATTCTGTTGGATGAAGACGTCACCGCGTGTGATGCACCGACTCAAGCCGCATCACACTGCCCACGGCCTTCGTCACAAACCGTCGCAATGGCCTTCCCGTGTTCCCGGGATCCTCAGGCATGGCAGCACAGCCACGACAAAATGTCACGCGAGATGCAATTTCCATTGCAATGCTATCCATCTACAAGCGGCCAACCATGTCAAATCATTCTGGTCTGTTGAAGGTTCTGAGGTGATGAGGATCTCCACTGAAGCTTGCAAGGAGAGGAGCTGAGCGGCGAAGTGTCGAATCAAGCGTGGTATATAACCCTGGGACCTGGGATTCCTAGGATAGTCCTAGGATAGTCTTTCAGCCTCCTGGGAACAAGGACCCGGGGACCCGGCAGCCGCTGCCTTGCTCAGGGCCTCCAAGCGCTCGGGGGAATCCAGCAAGAAGCGGCAAAGATTCTGAAGAGCCTTTGGCCAGGGCTGGGGCGGCTAGGGACTAATCGCTTGTCGGCCTCTTTCACTGCAGTCTGTCGTGTTTGATGCTATACCCATGACATCACTCGGGCCTGATGCATTCTTCGTCGCCACGTCCTGTCTGGGCTCTCTCGCTGTCCTGAGTCTCTGCGAAACACATGCTGCACAATCAAACACGTAAGCGGCTTGCACACATTCTCACACGTGCGAGCTGAGCTCACAAACGTGGTGGGCGAAGGTCAGCCAAACCATCCATCAGTTCCCTTCGCTGTCGCGGGCCTTGCAAGTCACATCAGCTTTAAAGTGAAAGCTCGCGACTTCCAATCTCATCCTGGGAAAAAGTCACGTTAGTCGTCCTGCACATCACGAGTTCAGTCATCTGGACATGCGCTGGCCATGGCAAGATCTGACGCCACAGTAAGAAGACGTGATAAGATTCATTTGCTTGGGGGGCTGACGGCTCTGCAGCAACTCAGCAACAACGTCGGACGCCTTTTTGAAAGCAGGGCACCAAAACAACTGCTAAACGGCATCGGGCTGGCCTCCCGCACGAACTGCAGGCTCACTTCTTCCGCAGCCTCCTTCGGGATAAGGCTCCAATCGGAATAACTTACTCTGGCTCCCAATCGATCAGCAAGTCACAGGTAGTACTCGACATGTACGGGGCAGGGATTCCGGCTCCTTCAACCACGGCCTTTCACGCAAGCCAATCGACAGCCGGTCAGCGATGTAAACGAAATCCTGCCATGCCAACTCGATCCAACTCGCATTGCATAGCCTTGCACTGCATGGAGGTTGAACATCACTTCAGCCGCCTCTGTTGCTCCGGCTGTAATCTTGCCGCCTGGGGCAGCAGCGAACGTAACGCCAAGTTCTGGCCGAGTTGATGTTTGGTACAGTATGAAGCCAGGGGGTTGAACTGGCATTGTTCTGAGCCCCATTCCTGCCTGCTTTCTTCTTCGCACCATTGAACGCCGGCACCGCCACCTGGGTCAACCGTTGAGAGGAGAATGCGCACTCTGTGTGACAGTCTTAGCCGACGACAACGGCAGCCCAACGAGCTGGCTTGGAGGAGCAGCGCCTTCATGCAATTCATAGGAACCAGTTCTTGCATGCATGTCTCGGGCAAACTTGCCGCGCCTCTCTCCACCAGGTGGACGATGCCACCTAGGAAATTGCATCAATGATGCCTATCAGATCCATCTTATCCTATCATCTCACGGTCTCAGAATCCAAGATCGTGCATGGGCGCCGGACTGTGCTCGTGGAGCAGGACGGAGAGGAGATTGCAACGGCTTCAATGCCGGCAGCATGTAGTCTCTCGGTTGAAGCTTGGCATGGATCTCAACCGGTTACACAACTTGTTCGTTCTCTAGGGTTGCTCACGGTGACGGCTGATGTTCTCGCGAGGCTGTGATGTCGGACACTGCGCATCCAGTTTGCGCTGTGAGCACCGGTATGAAAAGTTCACGGGACATCTTGCACACCAGCATACTCCAGCATACGAGTGAAACATGCATTCCGAAAGCAAGACCGTCTTGTGAAGCAATGCTTTCTTTCAGAACTCTGAATGGCTCGGCAACTTTGGCAAGCCTGCCTGAGTGGTGCAGCGTTACATGTTTTAAACTAAACCATTCATCATGCCTCAATTCACACACACTGCAAGCCAGGTGCCGGTGCAACATCCGGCACAAGGAGGCTTGTGTTCCAGTAGAAAACGTGCTCCTTGTCGAGGGCATCCAACAACTTCATGTCCTCAACAGCTCAAGGTTATCGGAAAGATGCAGGGCGTATGTCAAGCATGTGTTCGCATGTGATGCCCATACTAAGTCCTCCTCTTCGAGGACGAAGTCCAAAACTTCCAAATTCTCTCTCAATCGTCTCTCCTAGCATTGAGCAGGGGATCAAAAGCGAAGTGGAGCTTTTGAGCAACTGGAAAACCGGCCTTGTTCGACTTCGGTGTCACGGCGATTCCCTTCTGCACCGCCCAGCGCAACAACACCTAGCCACTGGCATGGCTTCCTCCTGCTACGCTGCAGTGACACGGTAGTATATGGTGTGCTAAGTGCCGAAAACAAATCGCATCTAGGCCAAAAGAGCTCCCACGCTTATGCAAGATTTCATCACAAACAAAGTAGTCAGTCTACCCTGTCTCTGAAGATTTTCGCTCAGAATCTTTCCTCAATGCCCTTGTAAGACAAGCTCGCCTGCCCCGGAGACCGGCCGAGACGTGTCGAGATTTGACGCGCCACTGCGTTGGAAGCAATGACTCCTTCGCACGTTGCGGTCGCAAGCAGTGCAAGACTGGAAGCCGCCCTGGCCACAAAGCAATGAAAGTGACTGTTCACGAAAACATCGAAGCCGTTGCCAAACATTGCAAACACCGCTCCTGTGCCATAACCAGTCAAGCGGATCTGGGCCTCTCGCGCGTAGTCCTGAAGGAGCTCAACAATTTGACCGACATGTCCAACTCGCTGGATGGTTAAGTATACCAGTCTCTCTTCCGTATCTCCTGGACGTCGCGAAACTGCGCCAAGGGGTGAAGCTCCTGCTGTTCGTTGTAGATCGGGGCCGTCCTGTATGTATCCATCTCCTGCCCAGTGAACACTCTAGCTCTAGCATGGTCTTCTGTGATAACTTCGGCAAATAAGATGCAACAGCAGCGGCCCGATTGAAGAACAAATGCTGTACACCACACGATCGACAGCTTGAGGCCTTCATGAAGGCAATCGGATAGTTGCTGACTCCGATGTGCTTGCAAAGCCCGAGGCGCTTCGCTTCTTCCATATTCTGCCACGACCTTGGCTCAAAGAGTGACTGCAGCATGACGCTTCATCTCGGCAACCATTCAGGAATTTACAGTACCTACTGCATCGACCCTTTCAGCTTGCATGTCAAATGCCTGAAATGGCAGGCGAACAGCACAGCTTAACTCCACGCAAGCATGCGACCGTTTGCGCTGCTCGTATGCTTCGCCAATCCGTTTCTGCGCTTCCTTGGCTGCAACAATATGTCAAGCGGACATGTTCTAGCCAGCAGGTGAAACACAACAACACGGCAAGCGTCTTGCGAGGCCAGGGCAGCCAGTGCCCCTTTCACCAATACTTCAGACCACTTCGGGAACTCTGCCGAAAGTCCATACGCCTTGGACTGTGCACTCGACACTGAGTTATACATGAGCAAACTCAATTGTACAAGGAACATGGGGTATGAAGGAGGCTGCAAGCTCCTGCAAGTTTGATAAGTTTGGCAGGAAGCACGAGCAAATCTTGCAGCGCATGCTAATCCTGAGAGCGTCTCTGCAGCACATGACGAACATCAGAATGGACACTCACGAAATGCGACTGTTACTGACATGCCACTCCCCCCGTGCACGGTCCAATGCGGATGTCGCAGGGGTGTGGATGAGGCACAAGTCCAAGTAGGAAACGCCCAGCTGCTCCAGGCTCAGTCGGATAGCCTCAGGCCAAAGAAAACTTACAGAATCTTCTGTTCGCTGGACACAGCCGTTTTAGTCTCCGTGTCAAAAACACTGCCCAACCTCGAGCTCTTTGCCCTTCCGGTTTAATGGATGAAATCCTCGGACACATGCGGCCATGGCATGGCTCTCATCTCCTTCGGCCAGCCAGGCCAGCCAGGGCACCCGGCAGAAGTGCTGCAGGCACTGGCAAAGACTCGTAGCCGAACGCCTTCTGGTGCTCCTGTGGCATACTGGCGTAGCTCCTCGACCTACTTGCTCACTATGGCTACGGCTACACGGCCCACCACCTTAGACTTGTTTTGCTCAAGCCTCTGCGCTGCAAGCCGTAAGCATGAAACAAACCCTCCCCCAAAACAGCATCATTTTGCAACAAAGGATCCTTAGGAAGATCCAAGGATGCAGGAAAAAATCCCACTTTGGACGTCAGGAAAAACTCATCACGGGCGATGCCGCTTTGTTCGATTGCATCTCGAATAAGGTCATGATTCCTGGCTCCAAAGCGCAGCAGAGATACTGTTTCAAATAACAAGCAACAACGCATCGACTTTTGGGCGCAGCACCCGTACAGCAAAGCAGTGTCGATAGTCCGGTACCCCAAGCGTATTGCTTTGACGATGGTGGACACCTGCACAGGGATGCACTCACGAGGTGCAGTATCTTTTCGTCTCAACCCCAGCCTGCTTGATACCGCTGGTGCCCAAGCCAATCAATGCCAGCTCGCCGCCAGCTTGAACCAAGGTAGGCAATCCGATGGCACAAAGTGTGAGCACGAACATCGCTTGCGGTGAGTTTAGGGTGATTCTGGGTGGTCCATATCATATCGAACATCTTCGAACTGTGATCAGACAGCTTTCGAAGCAACGGTACGGCGGTCGTAAGTCGAAAAAACGTGTGCTTTACACCTGATTATTCTCAGTTACGGCTGCTGGCGTCCATGCTGTCTTTGAACCGCATGCGCAAGAAAATCGAACTCAAATTTCGCGCACGTCCTGCCCCCCCCCCCCCCCGTAAGTGTCATGTCCCAGCATGGCAACCTTTCAAATGCATGAACATTCTGCGGTGTTGAGCTGTGGCGCTCGTTGTTCAAGTCGCCAGCGCCCAAGTGAAACAACTTGATCAGCACTGTGACGTCCTATTGCACTGCACACTTGCTGATTTTCAGAAAAACATGCAAACAAACGGTCTCATGTGTGTCACTCCTACGCCTCCGCCTCGAGCCGCTTCCTGTTCCCAAGGGGCATGCTCATCAAATCTGTGGATCTGACAACTGCGTGTACATGAGCCTGCCATTCTCTCACGGATACCCAGGTTGATGATTTCGCCCCACTCATGGCAGCACAATCTTGACAACGTGATATGCAACAAAGCGTGCCTGTCTTCGAGGAGCATCTTGTGCTTCCCCAGCAGCATGTGACAACGTAGCCCAACTTCTCGAAGACTGTCTGCTAGTAGCCTTGGGGCCGAATTGATTGGCGCCATGCGAGGACATGAGCCGGAATGGAGAAATTGAAGCAAGACACGACAAATGCCGTGCTCACTGCGAAAGACTTCGGGCAGCCGTTTTTGCAGCATTGCCTAGACACCAACCGTGCCAAGCAGCTGCGTCTCACGTCGCATGGCTTCGCGCCGCTCAGCCGATGCAGCCTCCGTCTGCCTGACTCCGAGACAACTGCAGCCAGTCAACGACAAAAGCTTCGTGCTGCAACCTCCGAAGTTGAAGCAACCCAAGACCCCAGAACTTTCAGAAAGACAGCAGGAAAACCCATGGAAAATAACAAAAAATGTGTGCAGCATGGAATCGAATATGCCGCCTCATCTTGCCTTCCTGTGCCGCCAACTGAAGCCGCAATTTCTTCAAGGCTGCCTGGCAGCGGAGCGGTGCGCAGACTTCTGCACGGAAGTAATGCAGGGGCTAAACATGACAATATCGGAACCGCTGACCCCATGCGGGCCTTGCCACTTTTCGAGTTTGAAGGTGGCTCTTGCACATCCTCAAGAGCTCAGTAAATGAGTGCCAGAACTACCAGACTAGGTGGGTGGTCACCCGTGGCAATTACCTGCATGTGTCTTGAGCTCTCTCAACATCTGTGAGAGCTGGCCTCCTCCTTCGGTGCATCAGAACTCGCACGGCGAGGATTCTTGCTGCCAGGAGCCTGCAGGAGGCTCTGCAACAATTCAGTGCCAGGGGACTCAGAGACTCCGATGCTTATAGGTTTTCGTTCCCATTTCCCGGGTCATTCACTGGCTGCCTCCTGACCCTCCGGGACGCCGATCTTTGCAGCGGCCTCGGGCCCGGTGGCCTGCGCATGTGTTCCGGACACTTCGGCGAAACTTATCGAAACGTCAATCTCAACATGGGATCAAACCTCTGACTTCGAGAACGACAAGCCAAACGGCAGCCCCAACAAGAAACTTGAGTTGAGGCCACGATTGCTAGGGCAGAGTCGATGGAGCTTGCGCGCATGCTCTGCGACGTGGATGCAAGCACATGTGTGTTCCCTGAAGCTTCAACCTGCAAGATGACAGCGCTCTTCTGCTCTACATTGGCGCACATACAGACACACCCTCGTAGTAATGCCTTGACCGACCTCATTGACTTCCGGAATGTCCGTGCATAAGCTTAAACTCTGCCATCTATGAGCAGCTTCGAACTGTCCTCGTGGCAGCTTAGCTCATTACTGAGGCAAGGCAGCAGACTTGAAACCTGCTACATCGACGCACTGCTACCTGGTGGTGCGCGGGGGGAGGTTGCTTCGTGCTCTGAATCAATTATTTGTGTGGTGGGGCGGGGGGCCTTCTCTCGGTCCTCAGCGGCTTCGTTTTGCATCTGGGCAGCACTGGACCTCGCACAAAGCCACCAGCGATGCTTGCTAGGCTGTGACTCTGATGGTGCATGTCTCGTCAGGGTTCGACAAGGCACTGTGCCCGTGCTCGCTGCTCGGCTACCTGTGCTCGTTCCTCCCGCAGCTGGCGTAACTGCGCCGATTCCTAGGCTCGAGATGGCTCGAGGTTGTAGGCAGAACTCTTGCAGAAACTCATCCACCCATCCTCATGATATCGTTGGTCCGAAGGTTAGTGGATGCCCTCCGTGTTCCGTATTACATGCCGAGGCAGCATCAGACTCGGTTGCTGCCATCTCCTGCAACAAATCTTGGCTTCTGCAACCGCTCAGGCTGCGGCTGCACCGATTGTTCCAGCGAAACTTACGGACGTCTGGCACTAGAACTCCTCCTTCAAGTCGACAAGCTGTACAGATTTCTCGTCGTTGGCCTTGGAGCAAGCAGAGGGCAACTGCCGACAGCGATTCGATGTTCGACAAACTCTTCCCTTCCAAGTTGCGGCACGCTGGGAATGGAGCTCGTTGCGTGCGGCTGCCAGCTCGCGCTGGAGTTCTGCCTTGGCACAATGGCCGGGAATCTCCGCTAGTCTTGAATCATGAGTTTACTTCAAATGCCGACTGGAAGCGGCTTGCTGCCCAGTTCTTCGCACCCCATTCATCTGGTCTTTCTCCAGGTTGGCACGCCTCACGTGATGCCAGCAGGCCGCAAGCTGTCAAGACGATTCGGCCGTGAGACCAGAATCATGGACAGCGGTGTGCAGCCCTTCTGTGAGGTCCAGAAATGCCAACCCGAAGGTCACGATACAACAGCACGCTACCTTGGATTTCATCCGAGCCACCGCACTTCAGCCTGCACTAAGTGATCGCGCTCCCGAAACTCTGCTTCGCACTTCTGCTCCTGGGGTGCTTGACTCTGCTTTTTTTGGCAACTCTGCAGTGCCTTCTGACAAGCCTTACCCACAAGTCGTAAGTCGAGCCAAAGCGTTGGACGTCTTAGGTCTTAGTTGGACCTGCTCTCTCTGCTTCCGAGCATCTTCCTCCTTTCTCACGCCCAGCTCCGTCAGGGCCCGGGCCTCTCATGCCGAGAAATACGCAACATGCATCCCCTTTGGAAGACCCATTTGCCTCTGAGCTCTGAAGTTGTGCTGCTTTGTCCGATAGCTGCCGCAGGCGATGCTCAAGCCTCACTAACATCACAAACGTCAGTAAGCACACGCAGTCTGTGTATGTAGACAGGCTTGCGACATGTCTTTACCGGGGCCTCTGGTAACCGTCTCGAGCTTCGTTTTGCATCTGGGCAGCACTGGACCTCGCACAAAGCCACCAGCGATGCTTGCTAGGCTGTGACTCTGATGGTGCATGTCTCGTCAGGGTTCGACAAGGCACTGTGCCCGTGCTCGCTGCTCGGCTACCTGTGCTCGTTCCTCCCGCAGCTGGCGTAACTGCGCCGATTCCTAGGCTCGAGATGGCTCGAGGTTGTAGGCAGAACTCTTGCAGAAACTCATCCACCCATCCTCATGATATCGTTGGTCCGAAGGTTAGTGGATGCCCTCCGTGTTCCGTATTACATGCCGAGGCAGCATCAGACTCGGTTGCTGCCATCTCCTGCAACAAATCTTGGCTTCTGCAACCGCTCAGGCTGCGGCTGCACCGATTGTTCCAGCGAAACTTACGGACGTCTGGCACTAGAACTCCTCCTTCAAGTCGACAAGCTGTACAGATTTCTCGTCGTTGGCCTTGGAGCAAGCAGAGGGCAACTGCCGACAGCGATTCGATGTTCGACAAACTCTTCCCTTCCAAGTTGCGGCACGCTGGGAATGGAGCTCGTTGCGTGCGGCTGCCAGCTCGCGCTGGAGTTCTGCCTTGGCAATGGCCGGGAACCTCCGCTAGTCTTGAATCATGAGTTTACTTCAAATGCCGACCGGAAGCGGCTTGCTGCCCAGTTCTTCGCACCCCATTCATCTGGTCTTTCTCCAGGTTGGCACGCCTCACGTGATGCCAGCAGGCCGCAAGCTGTCAAGACGATTCGGCCGTGAGACAAGAATCATGGACAGCGGTGTGCAGCCCTTCTGTGAGGTCCAGAAATGCCAACCCGAAGGTCACGATACAACAGCACGCTACCTTGGATTTCATCCGAGCCACCGCACTTCAGCCTGCACTAAGTGATCGCGCTCCCGAAACTCTGCTTCGCACTTCTGCTCCTGGGGTGCTTGACTCTGCTTTTTTTGGCAACTCTGCAGTGCCTTCTGACAAGCCTTACCCACAAGTCGTAAGTCGAGCCAGAGCGTTGGACGTCTTAGGTCTTAGTTGGACCTGCTCCCTCTGCTTCCGAGCATCTTCCTCCTTTCTCACGCCCAGCTCCGTCAGGGCCCGGGCCTCTCATGCAGTTTGAGACAAAGTCGCATGCTCATGCGATCAAGTCTGTGCAGGAGGATGCAGGAGGCACAGGAATCACAAGACACAGGGGGCATCTCAAGCCTCAAGACACGTACCATTCTCAAGCTCGAGGCTAGCCGGCTAGCCTCTTCCATTTTCACAGTTCATCTTGCAACCAGTAATTTCAAGGGCATTTTCCCTTCGCTTTTTGCTATCCTTTCGCTGCAAGGAGCGGATGATTGGAACTAAGGCGGCCAGGGGCTCAAGCCGCTGTGACCAAAGATTGAGGCTGCTCCGCCGTCTCGAACGTAGCGTTCTCCGGAAGTCTCTTTGGCCTCTCCTTGGTCCATGCAATTCTTGCGTAGTCCTCAAATCCAAAGGTGCCGTTCTTGGGCGCCCTTCCAATGCATGCGGCAAAAAGGGACGCCATAGCACCACCCAGTGAGTGGCCAAATACAGAAACCCCTTTGCAGTATGGAAGACGCGGGCGGATGTTTTGCTGCCATGATGGGACTTGTGTCATCCGGTAGAGCTCGGCCCAAAAGCCGGAATGCACGAAAGAATCACCCTCGCGCTGCACACGGCAGTCCCCTCTGCATGTAGGTAGCGGCCACGGACAGCATCGATCGTCTGGCAAGGTCAGACCACAGAATGCTCTGGTGACACCCCTTGCATTTTGAGACCAGTCAACAGTATCATAGGTGCCTTGAAACGTAACAACGCACTCCAAGGATTGCGGATGCTGGACGAGGTAGGAAACCTGCTCACCGAATTGCCACCAATTGGGCCACAAGGGCGAGTCCACAATTAGTCGGGAGTCTCCTGGTTGATACCTCGCTGCACCGACCACACGAAAGCCTCCTTGTCGCGCAAGCTCAGCGCCTTTCGCTGCATCCCGGGTGTACGACAGATCCAGTGCCCAGCTGCCTCTGCAATTCACACGTACAGAAGATCAAGATTGAATCAAGTATGATGCAGAAGTTCAGTGCGAAAGGGGTTCGGCCCCTCATAGCAGCCGAGCAGCTCAATCGCTTCACGAACGTGTTGGAACTTCCTGCAGCCACTTGGTCAAAGTACGTCCCACTGTGCAGCGACCAGTCTCCTCGAACCAGCCAGGTCGAATTAGGCCAATGCTGAACATTGCTCAGAGTGCAGGGGTAGTAGCGGTCTTTGGATGGGTCATCGACGTCCAAAAGGTAGAGATCCATGCGAGGATGCCAAAGGCTGACCCTGGAAGCTACCCATGTAATGGGATCTGTTTGCTGCGATTCGCCTCTTGTCCGCAGGGTGACAACCCGTGCTCCTGGAAAACAGCCTCCGTCGGCGGATGTCAAAACAAATCCTGGGGAAGCTGACCCCGGCGCTCCGAAGGTGTAAAGTCCATCCACCGTGCCTGGCTCGCCTGCGGGGAATCTCAGTTCAGCATATGACGCCCCTCTCACAGCTGATATCAGCTATTTATTAGCCCGAGCCTCTGCTGCGTGAAAAGAACGGCCAGGAATCGCCAAGGTCGAGCTTCTCGTCGCTTGCAGCTGCTTTAGACTGCAAGAGGCCGGCATCGTCACATTGATCCTCTGCGCTCGTCTTCACCTCTGTGCTTAGCACAGGACAAAGGCAGTCAGCAGATCAAACATAGATGAAATCAAGCATGCACAAGGCTCTCCGTGAGGATCAACCTGCAAGTGATACTCGCTGAGACTTATGCGGGCAGAAAACTACCACTGCCAGGAGGATCGCGCACGTCAACATCGATGGGCTGAAGGCGTCTGCAGAGGCTCGGCAAAGACTGGTCGAGGAATCTGAGCCCTAGATGGCTGCATACAGCAGCTCCAGTTAGCGAGTCCAGAGGCTGTGTGAGGTGCTTGACTCACCTTGGCTGCAATATGCTTCCTTGTCGTTAGCCGGAGAAAAGTGTTGACGGAGGACGCAGGCAGGACGCTTTGGACTGCAATCCACGAGGTTCATCAGTGTGAGGCATCGATTCGATACAGGCCACGAGCAGACGCAAAGCTTCTTCGGCGACCAGCATGCAGGAGTTTTACAGCAATTACTTGCCAGCTCTTGCTTCGCCTGAGGCACTGCACAACAACTACAGTAGCTAGTAGCTGCATGGGGAGCAGCTGCGGGAAGCACTGGCACCCTTGCTTTCCTTGTCCAAAGTGGCCCAAATTTCAAACATCGAACATTAACACCAGATAACGCTTCGAAGGGATCTGATTCGACGCCCCGCCCTGCAACTTCCCTTGCCTCAGAGCTGTGAAGCTGCGCTGCTTCGTCTGAAAGCTGCTGCAAGCGATATTCTAGCCTCACGGAGGCAAGCCGCCAGTGCATGTCAGCGCATGGTGTTGATGCAGTTCAGCTCTCCAGCTTCTGTGGGTGGCAGCGGTGGACTGCTCTCGTGCCAAAACCCGATGCGGCGACAGGATTGTACCGGTCTAAGGCACCAGCTCCCGGGTTTTCTGCTGTTGTTGCTGCAGCTCCTGGGGTGGAGGCATGACAGCCAATGCAAGAGGCCTTCTTTGCATAGCCTCAAGCCATGGAAGGAACATGAAGGAACTGCAAGCAAGCTTCCGACTGCCATGTCGACTGGGAACGAGCCGTCGAGGCGAGTTCTTTGAGGAGCTTCCGACGCCTCAGCTCTGGGCGTAAGGTCTAAGTTCCGTCGAGATCCGTCCATCGGTACCAGGTACCAGCAGCCTACGTGACTGCGCTTGCATCGTGCATTTTGCTCCCAAGGTCGTTCCTAAGTAAGACCCTGGCTCGAGGATGTCTGGCAGGCCTCGGAGAAGCTCGGCGGCACCGGCACCTGTCGGCGACTAGAATCGTGAGGATTCTCTTCTCGACATATTCTCCTCGACCTCGGCCAGAGCACCAAACCATCTATATGCCTATATAATGGGCCCTTACAGAAACTTTTGTGTAATTGTTACGGAACACTATCGACAAGAATCACAGCTGAGATTTTTGTAAGATTTGTTCATACAGGGGGCCCAATCTCGTCGCTGCTGAAAATTCGGCACTACACTGCCTGCTTGTCAGCTCACTCTTCGGGGGTTCAGATTTCAGGGTCAAGGGAGCTTGGAATCCTAGCAGGAGGGCTCTTTGTTTGAGACCTGAGATAACTGCCGGGCCTGCCGGAAACATCCCGAAACTCCGCCTGCGCGGAACCTAAACACTGCAATTCGGACCTGAACCTGGGCCCGAAACCATCAAAGCTCCCCGAGTCACCTTCATTGCGTACAGAGATGTGGCACATGAAAACTTGCACGAAAGGTCTTTGGTCGGTGTTTCAAAATGGGCTTAGCGAACAAAACTCTGGAAACCCATTGGCCACGTTCACTTGCAGGTGGGCCGATCCGTGTGCAAAGCGCTTGCCATAAGTTCCTACAAGTAATGGTGCCGTCGGGCACCAAGCAGCAACACGACAACACCAGGACATCACTTCGAAACAGCAACTAGACTCGCTGATGCAACAGGTTGGGAGTGTCAATTGACAAAAAGTACTGCTGCTCACGGTGAGAGGGCCTATGTTTGAGAAGCAGGACTTGGCTTGGCTTTAGTACAGTATGCCGAGGGCATGACAAACCGACACACAGGACTCCAGCTTGGGCGAAAGCGTTCACAGGCTGGGGCTGGGGGACTCTTGTTTAGTGTCGAAGCTCCTCAAGTCATGAAATGCAAATTTCGGCAAAACATTCGTGCTGGTGGCCTGGCGGTCCGGCAATGCTGGCACCTTGGCTTAAAAATGTGCCGTCCCGTCTCTAGGCTACCTCCTCCAGCTGGAAGTAGCTCCAAGCAACAACTCTTGCTTTCAAGCAGCGCATGCTGGATCGCTTGGCAAAGGGCATGTCCGTCACGCTTGGTCTGCTCGGGGCAGATCCCGAATCCTTGGATGAGCTGCATCCCCTTCACGCATGTTATGCCGCTCGTGCTACTCCCTTCAGCCCCGACCCTCTCCACGAGATCGCCAACCCTGCCTCGCACTCCCTTCCTCTCTCCCGCTCTCTTCTCTCTCTCTCTAGACGACCTGGGCCCAGACCCCCCCTTCCCCCTTTAACTTTATCGGTGGAATAAGGCTTTGTGGTCTTTAGGACGGGTTTGCGTCCCTTGGTCGGTTTGGCAGGTAGAGTGTGTCCGTCATATATCCCCCAACCCTTTACACTTTCGCGCATTCCGGCCTCATCCCCGCGCCCGCTACGGCACTATCCTTAGACCCTCGACGGACACATCCCCCGCAAAAGACCTATGGTGTGCAGTCGTACCCCTTTGTAGGAAACAACAACTGAACTCTCTGCCGACTTAAGTATGCGTTTTCGTTGGGCACGTTGCTGCAGTTGGGGCCACTCGAAAACCAACACTGGAACGTATTCCTCGCGAGTACGTGTGGTCCCCCCACTGCGGTAATCACCCTATTTAGTGGCTTCAGGTGTTGGGCTGTTGGTGGCTGGCGGGGCCACTGTCAGAATCAACAAAGGGACAGGCACCGTCCAATGCACCAGTCTTTGGATTGTCCCCGCTCAGCTGTTTGTGCTAAGCGGAAGTTAGGTACTCAAGGGGGCTTGTCTTGCTTGCTTGCTTGCTTGCTCCCTCTCTCTCATTTCCCTCTCTCTCTCTCTCTCTCTGTCTCTCTCTGTCTCTCTCTCTCTCTCTCTCTCTCTCTCTCTTCACTTTCACTTCACTTCATTGGGGATGGGTTCGCACGCGAACCCGGGCCTAGGCCCCCCCTTCCCCGTTTTGGCGGTGGAAGAGGCTTTGGGGTTTTCAGCGGTCGGCAACTACGTGCTAGCGGTTGGTGTGGCTGGTGAAGTGTGGCTGGTGATGGACCCGACCCTCCCTTTACTGTATCGCGCGTCCCGGCCTCATCCCCGCGCTCTCTTAAGCAAGTTCCTTAGCCCCTCGCCAGCCATGCTTCCCCCACGCAATCGCCGCGGCCGGTGAGCACTCCCCGAGTACAACAACACAACCGAACCCAACTAAGTGCAGGACTTTAAGGAGTGCACGGTACGCAATGCGCAAACAGCTTGTCACAAGTAAAGTTGCGTTCCCCTTTCGGCCAAAGTGTTGTACGTAGGGTCCCCCGCCTTGCAAGTAAGAAGCAACAACAGAAAACAGTAAACCAGGACCGTGCACGTAACGAAGACGGCGGGTTCCCCTTTCGAGAGGTAGTGTAGCAGTCGGCAACAGTAGGCATTGGTGGTCCCCCCCGTTGGGTTCCCCCGCAGGACATCTAGGCTCCTATTCAAAGCGGTGTTCAGAACGGCAGGTCTCTATCACAGCGCCAATTTTGTGCAGGTGCAAAAGCGGAGCGTGTGGCTCCATCGGCAATTGGGTTGTATGGCTCCAGCGGCCCGTCACGAATTAAGCTGAACTTCGCAGGCTATAGAAAAGGGAAAAGGAGTGACCCTCAGGTCGGTTCGGAAAATTTCCCACACGCTCACTGCTTGTAGGTCTCGCTGTCCTCCCCGCGCATGTGCGCTTGTACTCGTCGTACGGCTCGCCATGTGGGCCCGGGCACCAGTCGAGCTCTTTTGGGACTGCGGCTCGGTGTCCTGGGTCTGCCCCCTGCTCGCTCTCAAAGCGCACATATTCCTCGTAGGGTCTTGTTTTCCCCGCCACTTGGCAGGATCCCCCGCCTCCGCCTCTAGGTTGGTACAGGTCGTGCTCGTCGGCCTCCTTCTCCTTCAGCTTGCGCATGTCGCTGGGTGCCGCTATGCTTGCGATCCCCCCGGTCGCTACTTGCTGCCTGTAGCAAGTGCTCCCGCTGTCGTGGGATTTGTGGTAGAAGGGGCCTTCCAAGCAGGCTCTGCAGGTAACGCCCATCCCCCGCAGTCTTTCTGCTAGTGCACACTGCTCTTGCCAGGTGGTTTTGGTCTTCGCTGGCTTATCTTCCGGTTCTCGCTCAACACGGCTTCTCCCCCTGGCTGGGGCTGCATCTCCCCCCGGTTTGGGTCGGGATGCTGAGCTTGACATACTTGGTAATGTCGAGGTAGTTCGGCAGGATCTCCCTCTCTCTCTCTCTCTCTTTCTTGCTTGCTTGCTGACGGGTGTGGGGGCCTCGACCCTCAATCTCTCTCTGCCGATTTCCCTTTGCAAGTGCGCACCACTTTTTGTGGGAGCGGTAGGTGCCTCGGGTGCGGGCTAGCGGCTAGTTGGCAAGGGGCCTCGCCTTTCACTGTCTTCTGCATCTGGTGTCTGGGTCAGATGCCGCTTCGCTAAGAAGTTTAGTCGCGGCAGAGGGCATTTCATTGTTCGGGCACGGTCATGCGTGGGACTTGTCTGCAGCCCGTGCAGCTCTCACCCTTCACATCCACCTGGACCTAGAGTCCTGCCTTCCAACTCCTTGCCAGATCCCCAGCCTTAACCCCCAGAGTTCGATTCGACATACCGTAGGCTAACCCAGTATAATGCCCACGTGCTACAATATAGATCAGAAATATCCAGCAAATGGAATCTAAAGGCTACAGTCGTGCCCTCATGATGAGTGGACCCAAACTGAACTCTGTTGGAAATGGGATGTTAGAGCAGTCCTCCGGGCGAAGTTGGAGCGAATTGGCTGCTGGAAATTACATCTATCCAACTCGCTGGTACTATGGGGGCGGCCAGGGCTAGCGATGCAGTGCGACTGCCTCTATGGCAATGCTACGGCTGGACCTAGCCACGGCTACGACCACGAACACCAACACCAACACCAGCACTACCGCTACCGCTACCGCTACCGCCACCACCACCGCCGCCACCACCGCCACCACCACCACCACCACCACCCCCACCACCCCCACCAACCCCACCACCCCCACCACCCCCACCACCCGCACCACCCCTACCACCCCCACCACCCCCACCACCCCCACCACCCCCGCCACCCCCGCCACCGCCGCCACCGCCGCCACCGCCGCCGCCGCCCCCGCCGCCACCGCCGCCCGCCGCCACCGCCGCCACCGCCGCCCACCGCCACGCCACCACCACCACCCCCACCCACCACCACCACCACCACCACCACCACCACCACCACCACCACCACCACCACCACCACCACCACCACCACCACCACCACCACCACCACCACCACCACCACCACACCACCACCACCACCACCACCACCACCACCACCACCACCACCACCACCACCACCACCACCACGATTTGTACTACTTCTACTTGTTACTACCACGACGACGACGACTACTACTACTACTCCTGCTTGCTACTCTTGCTCCTTCTACTGCTACGGCTGCTGCTGCGGCTACTGCTACTGGAACTGGTGCTGGTACGACGACTACAGCCTCCTACTCCTACTCCTACTCCTCCTCCTCCTACTGGTACTGGTATTGGTACTGGTACTGGTACTGGTACTACTAACTGCTGCTACCGCTACTGCTACTACTGCTACTACTGCTACTGCTGCTACTACTGCTACTACTGCTACTACTGCTACTACTGCTACTACTGCTACTACTGCTACTACTGCTACTACTGCTACTACTGCTGCTACTAACTACTACTATTACTACTACTACTACTACTACTACTACTACTACTACTACTACTACTACTACTACTACTACTACTACTACTACTACTACTACTACTACTACTACTACTACTACTACTACTACTCCTACCACTATTCCCCTCACTGCGCGGCTGCTCGACAACACATCGAAGCCAACGGAATCCGCTCTGTGCGCCAAGATGCCATCTCGGCAATTGCCTAGTGCACAGGCATGTCATTCAAGAAACGAACAACTTGCAGCTACAGGCTTGTCGTAGAAGTAAGCAAGCAGCCTGTTCCAGCTGTCGCATCTCGCTCTCCCGGAACTCAAGCAAGCCCACGACATCCACCTCGCTTTCCTCCTCCTGAGCGGATAAACACAAACCCCCTGGATGGCCTGGATCCTGCAGAGCACGGAAGAAAGCCTTCTCAGCGACTCTGCGTAGCTGCCGAAAGGAATCTTCCTTGGCCTGCGCAGTAACCTGGTCAAAGCACAAGCAATGTACGAGAGCTGGGTTCCCCTTGCATCAACTTGAACACGTAGCAGCTGCGATATGACGAGTTAAGCCGCTAACTCTACTGCAGGCCTTTTGCTAGTGCACAGCTGCATACGGCGTACAATTCTTGCGCGGGCCACTGATCAACAGCAGCAGCTGGATTCGATCACGCATACAAACCACGGCAGCATATGACCTATGCTTGGCATCCCCTGGCTGGCTTTGAGCAGGTACCTCTGCGACGTGGAAGGCTTCCCAAAGAGATTTGGCCTTGAGACTGATGTGGAAAGCAGCATCTTCTCGACAGGAAGAGTCAGAGTACGAAGAGACGAGTCAGGGCCCCAGCAAGGCGAATCTCCTCTTTCTCCTTGCCAGGACAGAAGGAACCAGTCAGGCACCCAGCCCGAGCCGAGCCTGAGGGGCCTGTCCCCGCAACCGCTACCAGTAGCCATTTCTAGTCGCTTCGACCAAACTGACTGTCCTCATTCTCTGCTTTGCGCAGCAGGCGATCCACGACGTTCTGGCGAGAAGTCTTTAAGTTCAGGATAGTTTACGCATGCCGAGCATGCGAGGCTCCGATCTTAGCCCCTGCCTGCTGCATCTGTGACGTCATCATTTCTGCTTTGACCTCAGATGCTTGCGAACGGGGAGCCTGTTGGTCTCATGGCCCAATGCACTGGGGATGGGGCCGTGGAGACATCGTCGTTTGCGCTTGATTGCGCTGCCTGTGTAGGGGCAAGCATGCAAGTTGCGTGAGTAGCATGTTCGAATCTGTTCCTCGTGACACTCTTGACTTCGTTTTACCAGATGACTCTAGACGACAGAGAGTCAACACAGGCAGCGCTGCGGCCGCACGTCACAGGAGACAGCAGAGTGTGTGCCTGCTGGATTTCGACTTCGAGATTGCCGTTCTTGTCCTGCATCGGAGCGTCCCGGAGCGTCAGTCAGTCGCTCAAAAACCGATCCAAGGCTCAGGAGCTGCAGCGGACAGACCCCTCCTATAGATGCTCCCAAGACGGAACACAACTGCAAGCAACCGTTCTGAGCGTCTCCTGCAAGTCGCGCACGGCATCCACTTCTGTCTTTAGCTGCTTCTGCAACCTTGACTGACGCAGTGGAAGGTCCTGCGAGAGATCTACAGCACTTTGGCGAAGCACTGGTCCCGGCAGGTGCCCAACTGTCTCAAAAACATCGCCTGCCAGTTCTCCGTCTCGCGATCGAGGTCCGAGCGCAAAGCATCGCATTCTGCCTGCCGCCGACCCGCTCTTCGCCCTTTGGGCCCTGAACCCTGGGCCCTGAGGGGCCTTGAACTGGCGGAGGTCCTCTCCATGGCTCCGCTGCCATTTCTGGAGCAGCGCATCTGCCTCAGCAGCCTGTTCCTGCTTCGCTCGTGAGCACTTCAGCCACTTCCGCCCTGCCCGCTCAAGAACGATTGTGCCTCCTCTGCTGTGTGGTCCACGATCACAGTGCGAAGTTGTGCTTCCAAGGACTGCGGGATCAAAGCTGCAACAGACCCAAGCGTGTTCTTATTGGGCAAGCAAGCTCCTTCTGGCTGCTCTCCATTCCACTCAAAGCCATCTCCTCCGAGTTGAGGCGGTCCCTCATTTCCTGTCCACCGCGAAGACCGTTTCCAAAGAAACAGCGTTCGGGCATGAATCAACAAAGCGGTCCTGCAACTCATCTTGTAAAATGTCGGCTTCAGACTTGTACACCTGAAGATGCGATGAGTGATGACTCACAAAAGCGCGAGACTTGGACACAGCTCTGCACTTGCAGGTCTCCTTCCAGCATGAGCTTCGGCCAAGAGGCTGACTGATCGGCTCTGGGCGTTGGAGGTCCAGAATCAGTCAGAGACGCGTCTGTGCCCTGTCTGGACAGAGAGCCTCTCGATTTGAAGCGTGCGAATTTTCTACTATTTAGGGCCTCTTCAGACTGAAGCCAAGCCCGCCGTGTTATATTAACCAGCAGCAGTCGAGAGCTTCACTTGCACCAAGAGAAGCAGTGGCAACGCAACCACAACCACTCTTCTTGCCGATTCCTGTTAACCTCGGGACCTCGTGTCTACACTGATCAGGTGGCGCTGCGGCCTTTCCGATCTGCTTGCTCTGGCGCGTCTGCCACCAGACGTTGGAGTGCGGCGCCCAGTGCCAGCTGCTGGGGCCTTAACAGAGACGGGCTCTGGCATCAAAAAGGCCTTCTCTAGCGTCTGCAAGTACTTCTTCGATGTATTGTGGCTGAGCACAACACTCCTCCAGGTTCATGATGGCTTGGATTGCCTCCTCCTTTTCCAGGGCTGATGCTGCGAATCGAATACGACGTGAGGAGCATGTCTTACCAAAGCCCTGGCCGCTTAGCCTTGCGCGGGCCCTCCACGGCTGCCAGCATGACTGCTTCACAAAGTGCTCGAAGGAGGCCGGGCTTGCAGAAGGTCTTGGCCGGACGGCAGGATTACACGCCGCAGCTGCTGGCGTCTTCGACTTTACACTCTCGCAACTCGGACTGCGCCAGACGAGGTCTCTCGATCCGTGTGACACTCACGGTGACTTGGATTAAGGCAGTTCAGAGAACGTTTACCGGACCTCTGGGCAGCTTTAGAGTCATGGCGAATCACATGGCATCCCTTCAAGTGCCCCGTGTTAGTGCGACTGATCCTGAGCTTTGCCATGGTGCTCCATTGTGCATGTTGCCAGCCAGCCTGTCCGGAAGCCCCAGCGAAGTCATTCGAATCACTCTGTTTGTACAATTGCACTGCATTTCTTGGAGAAGATTCGCCGCATGTATGTCTCAGTTATATGCTTCTATCACATCTATTTCGCCTTGTGACGCCTCCCCGGGAAGAAGTTTAGGCTAAAACCGGCACAGCAACACTCGTCAACTTTGGAATGCAAAAAAACTCAGCCAGGAAAGCGGACCAGCATTGTCACGTCTCTGCATCGCTACAACGATACCATGACGTTACTACAACACACCATGATTCCGAATGTCACTTTCGTTGGCCGGCGCCTGCCTGGGCAAAACCACCCGAGAGCCGAAGTAACTAGTGAGACAGCCATGAAGCAGCTTGGCGCTTCCTGAAGGAGAGCAGAGATTGTCTTGTTCAGGTTCTTTCGAACTCCTAGTCCGGCTAAGCCCTTCGTGATTGAGAACATGATACTGCTGCTGGTAGCAACAGCACTACTAGCTGATGCGAGCCCAATGCTTTACTGCGAGCCTAGTGACTAGTGCTTTAGTGCACCATCCATGGCACAGCTCGGTTTTGGCACAAGCACTTCAGGAGCGATCTGCATGCGGAGCCTGCGGCGCTGTTGGAGGGGTCGACGGCCGGCGCATAAAGCTGCAAAACATCCTGAGCTGCGGCTTGCAGCATCAGAACGTCTCCCTCTGCTGCGCTAACTGTCAGTCCCCGCGCTAGTTCAAATGGTCACCACGGCAACAAAACAGTCGAGGAACGGCCAGGATGGAACCGTCTGCAAGGTCGTCAAAGTCCTCCGCCTCCGCGTCGGGATAGCCTGGCAGTTGTTCAGTGTCGGGGATGGGGCACATTGTCGGACACAGGGAACGATGGGAACGCATGTGCGACCACGGTGCAAGCATTGACCCACTCGACCAAAGCAAGCTCCTCTTCTGCGTCAGTCCTCACGCAGAACTTCTCACCAAAGAACAAGTGACTTAACAAAGCAATGGCAAGGCAATGTGCACAAACAAGTCTTTCTCACACTCACACACAAACACTCACCCTTAGAAGCGTCTTCGGCTCAGACTGATTTCAATGAGGGGCATGTAACGCCATGCCGCACTTGCGGCTGGCGAGTCACGGACTCAACGACTCAGGTCACTCCATGGCGGCTGCTGTCGCGAGCGGAAGCGAACAAAGGGGTACGTATCAGAGTTGAAACTGCGTAGGCTTCTTCTGCTTGAGTCGTTTGACATCTTGAATCTGTACCAACACATGAATACGCGAATGGCACAAAGAACACACAATCACTCACAACAGCTGCTTGTATCTGTGATCATGTCCGCACTTCGCATTTGTGTTAAGTGCTGTGACCAATCGCATCTGGGCGACTACAGCATCGGCCGTCGAGCTCAAACTTGGCAAAGGTCTTGCTGCAGCTGGACTCGATCGGTTTTTTCATGTGAAGGCAAGTCGGAACGAGCCAGACTATGGCCGCTTTGGGCTTGCGGAAACAATGCACTGCGCACCGTGTTTGAGGCCTATAAAGCCTGTGTCGCCAGCTATGCAAACGGCGATGCCACCGGCGGTTCCGGCGGGGCCAGGAAGGGCAACCCCGGCGTGAGCGCAGACAGCAGGATGTCCCAGGTCGGTATGGAAAAAGAATCCTGCACCAAAAAGCACAGAAACTCTTGAAGCTGGAAGCCAGGTGCAATATGTGAATACACATGTGTATACACATATGTATACAAATATAATATATACTATATATTAATATTATATAATTATATACATTTATATACACATACATCTATATGCCCCTATCGATCGATGTCGGCATTAACAGAGGATTAAACCAGCACTAAGCCTCGAAAGAACAAGTGGGCGGAGCGCGCGAGATCAATATTTATGGGGCCAAAACGACCACGGCGATGGAGCTGCTCTATCGACCGAAGAGACTGATCCCAGCATCCCTATATATGTAGACATGCCGCATGTTTATGTGCAACACCGGAACCGTAAAACGACAGCCGTCCAGGACATCCAGGAGGTAAAAATGAAGGTGTCTCTCTTGCTCCCCTTCCTGTCTCCGTTCCCTTTCAACTGTTGCGTCAAAGCTCCGTTTCGGAGTCCACCAATCCATTTTCATTCACGGTGAAGGTGCTGGTGACCTTACGCTGAGGTGCTGCTGCATCACTTTCGAGGTCGGACATGGGGATTTTCTGTGCAGGGATTCTCTTACAGCAAGCCCGGAAGTGGATAAGGCACGGCCCTCATATTCCATCGGCGAGCGGCGATGTACGGCTTTATCTTCAGACCCGGAAAAGGGACATTCGCCGTGCCCTCAATGCGCCACCGAATTGCAAACTTGTCCGGTTCGATGATCTGGACATCCTCGGTCCGTGAGTGTCGCAACTTGGCTACTACTTTGCTTGTGCCCTCGTGCAAGTCTAAGACCTGCAGTCTTCCCCAAGCATGAACTTCTCCAGAAGCATTGGCAATGCGGGTCACAATACTCTACACAACTCTTGCAGCAGTAAACCCATGCGAACATTGAAGACATTGACAGAAGCTGCGGCGACAGACGACCCCATGGCCTTGCGCCTTCCATGTCGTGATTCATTTTAGCCATAAAGGGCCCATCGAAGTGTGATAAGAGCTTGGGCACTCCTGTCCCCTTCCCCCCGGAGCCATTGAGAGGGGTCCCATGTCGTATGCTCAAGTACATACCTTTGAACTGTGCTGACGAAGGCAAGGTACGACAGCGTCGGCTTTGCAGCCGGACAGCACGGTGCCGGTGCCCTTGGCGTATTCGCGAATACCATTCGTTGTCACATCTGGATCGCCTCGTGAGACAAGCAGCCGAAGCAAAAGATTCAAGTGCCGCCTACACAACCAACGGTTTGCGCGGTCAATGCATCAATAGCCGAATTCCTGGCCAAGCCACGAAATACAAAACCATCGGCGAAGTACCGAGGCTCCACTCGTCCATTCACACCCCACTGGGTACGCTGGAAAGCGCGCGTGAATTCTTCTGCAAGCTGCCTTGCAAGGGTTCGTGCCATGCAACGTGGCATGTTACATGAGATTACATGAGTGAAGCCAGGCCTGAACGTCTTTGCAGCACACAAGCTGGGCTCTCTTGCACCATGCCGCAACATGGTGCACGTTTGTACATGTTCGCTTGCGTACATTAACAGTTCAACAAAGTCTGTCGTGCGGCTTCACAAGGCCACGTTGCGGAAGGGCTGTCTTCTTCCGTTTTGGCTCATCCCACCGGATGTCATCCAGTGCCTTGTCTCGTGCATCACTGCCCAGTCCGACTGCGGTCCGAGGAGTTCTTCCACCGATTCACAGCGTACAGATGCATGTATAGCCTGACCGACTTATGCTGCAAACAACATCGCCACATGCAAGCCTTAGTGTTTCGACCTTGTGTCTGTGCGGGATACATCGTTCTCGTGTTTTAGAAGCTCTGGGACTCTGGGCCATGGCAGGCACGCATGACAGTTGCATAGATGTTGCAGACAGTTGCACAACAGCTCCAGTCCTGATGTCCTGGACACTGAACTCCACACAACAAACAGAAGAGCCTGGGGCCCTAAGGCCGGAGCCGGAGCCGCAGGAGTCGCGGCCGCAGGCAAAGGCGCAGCAAGTGCCAAGAGGGCACCTGTCAGCTCTGCTATGCTCTGCTGAATCTGCCGTGGTGTCTGTCCAAACCCTCCGGCACAAGTGCTACGCTGCTACAAGTACAACATTTCCATGCCGTCCGCTTTGTTCTCGAAGGCACGGCGCGAGGTCGGTGGGCGAGAGAAAGTGGTGGTAAGTTGGCTTCTAGACCTCGTCTGCGGGATTGCAAGCAAAGGTAACGGATAAGTATGCTATGCGGCCGTGCCTTTTGCACTGTCTGAACCCCTATAAGCAAAGCATACCTTTCTCCCACAGTCGAACGTGATATGACACCGCAAAAGCAGGAACACTCGTCGTGAGCACCGAGCAGAGCAGTGCATGTCGGGCCGCCAGACTGGCAAGGCCGCCAGAGTCAGAGCCGCCAGCAGCGCCAGCCTGGGCCTGGGCAGCCTGCGCCCAGTGGGCCTGCTCGATAGCTCGCTGCGCCGGCTCGATCGCTCCATGGTGACGTCGCCGAAGGTCTTAAGAATGATGTATCTGCTACGGCGCCTCCTCTCTGCCCTCAAGCATCCTTACCGCACATCTCGCTCCTGCCAGGTTTCGATGCAATGCTGGAGTACGTCCTGTTTCCGTTCGTGGAGCTGGTGAGGCTGCAGAGCAAAAGCAGGGGTGCGATGCCGTCTTCTACAGATTCGACCTTCTACCAGTTGCAGCAGGTGTTTCACGTGCAAACCTCTGCTTTTGATACGGTGAATCTTCGAGGTCTGCAGGAGTCAGGTGCAGCAATCCGACGCTGAGAACTCCTGAGCAACTTCGTGCAATGCCTGCAACCAAACTAGGCCGGTCTCGTTTCCAAATTGCTGCCCGGGTGCGTGGTTGAGCTTGGCTCGTAGAGATCAGTTCGTGCCTCAAATGTCTCACGCACGGCTACAGGGATCGCAGATCTTCGGTCCCCGTCGCACGGTCCTTGCTTAGTCTGATAAGCGAAGCTACATGTGTATTTATATGCTGACGCGGAGTGGCCGTGGGCTCACCAGAGTCCATCCTTGGACAGGACGAAACTGCCGGGCGGCACCTGCACACAAGCCGCCAGGAAAACATCAGTCATGCCAGCTGCGCAGTAAGCCACAAGCCTTTATAGGACCCTCCCCAGGCTGAAGCCAGATGCAGCATTGCGCCCGCACTTACAAGCGCCAGGTCTTCAAAGCTCAAACAATCAAATAACCAGGATTTTCGCTTCCTGTACTACTCAGTATTACTCACTTCTTGCTGACATGACCTCGTAGCTCTTGCTTTAGCACGTCCAGAAACGCAGGTCGCCCAGGCCGCCCTGTATCCTGACATCATTTCTTCGGGTCCGGGTCCGGGGGAGTCGGCTCACCCAATATGCGGATCATGGCACAACTACCACATGCCAGTTCCTGCACCAGGTATTCTACGTGCGACCACGGAACTCCAACCAGGACTTGGGCACCTCGCCGTAGGGCGGCGACACATCCTGCCATAAAGGCGACTTGCGGATGGAAGGATCACCGCTCTGTACAGTAGTATGTACTGCAGACAGATGGGTGTGGCAATGCAAGGGCAAGCTCTGGCCCTGAGCCCTTGCTTCACAAGCTCGCACGAAGATAACATGTCACAAGAAACCCCAAACTTGAAGTCAACCCTTGAGCCTTGAAGCATCAACTTAAAAAGCAGCTGCTGTTCTGTGGAGAATCCTGTCGCGGTCAAGTCTTCACAGTGGCATGCCCACACCTACGTCAGTGTGTGCTGCACTATGCTGCACTTCATTCTGAGAGTCCTGCTGCAAGCGCTTGTGACGTTGAGCGCAAGTAGAGCAGGTCTGCTGCAACCACAACATCCTGGAAAAAAACACGGGGGCCGAAGCGTTCATTTTCCCGAGAACGGGGGTCTGACCATTCGTTGTTACAGTCCAACTTTGCTTGCCCCGAGTCGTAAAGTTTGGGTTTCACAGGCTCGCAACTTCCACCCTCTTGCTTGTTACAACCTCCCACCTTTCAAGAAAACGCCTGCTCCCCCTTTCAGCGTCTTCTTCTCGCTGCGCGCGATCCAGTCACATCTTTTTCTCACGCAATAGAACCATTCTCCCTGCAACTTGGAAGCATCAGCTACACGCCCTCTCGAACCCCCTAGCGGAGAGCAACGGCGACGCCTACGGAGCTGCTCGAAAATCTTTGGGTGGAAGTGGGTCAGGGGCTGTGGGGCCTTTCCTCTCCTCCTCCTCCCCGCTTTCGGGTCGAACCTCTTGCGGCAAATGCTGTGAATTGTTCCATGTCTCGCAGGTGTCACGCATGCCTACGTGCTTCTGAGGTGCCGTGCGAATATTGCATACTTCAGTGCTTTTCAACTCTACAACAGCAATGGTTGTTCTTGCTCCGGTGCTTTCAAGGTAGTCGAGGATACCAGTGTATCAGTGTATCTGTATCGTTCGCAAAGATTCATTCAAGGCTTCGAGTTAAGGATGCAAAACGGGTTCAAGTTGCCGTTTCTTGTAACAGCCGAGGCCAAGGACTCGCGTGCCCCGCTGGGGCTTCACGGGAAGATGTTCGTTGAGGATCTGATACTCGTCCGAGCTTCAGCTTCCGGTACATCCTCCTTCGTGAAATCCAGCAGTGCAGTTTCCACAGGCAGCGTCTTGCTTAGCTGCTTCTCGTTGAGGACCGCGGCCTGCAAATACCGTGCTTCGACATACCTGCTTTGTCAGTGTAGTGCGATCTTATCCGAAAAACAGAAGTAATAACCTGTTTCATCTGCAGCTTAGGGCTTAGGGAGCGTGCCCTTACGAACTGGTTTCTCAACATGCAGGCGCAAGTTGCCTGGCCTGGCGCAAGAGTGCCAAAGGCTCCTCACGATAATCCGTCGCCAGGGCCTGGTGCCCTGCAGCAACCGCAGCCAGCGAGCAAAGCCCTGTTCCGGCGCCGAGTTCCACCACTCGCGCGGGGCGTTTCTTGCAGGGCCAGCAACGGGTACAGGCATTTGCCTTCCGCCTCCCTGCATGGCGCACTTCCAGCCTTCCCATAAGTGCCCAGCAGGCCAATCAAGGCTGCTGCGACAACCTGCGCCGCCGGCCAGAGGACCAGACCGTATGGGTCGCCTTACACTGGCATGCTTTGCTTGGTTCCCGACTGCTCTTGCTTTGTTCGAAGCAATCCAGCAAGCAAGACGGTGCGGTCCAGCTGCTTTCTGCTGAGGCGGTGGGTTGCTCCAAGGCGTCTTCGACGAGGCGCTCCTAAGTTGCGCGCATCTCCCACTCCCTCGGACTCCCTAGAAGAGCGGAGCGCTGGCACGGGCGGCACAGGCGAGCTGCTTGCTCTGGGAGGGATGCCTCGAGCACTGAGAGCACCAACTCCTGGAATTCCACATCTTCACAGAGGCTACCTGCTACACGCTGCTCTTCAAGGAGCCTCGCGCACATGGACGCGCAAGTGCGTGTAACCATCCACACTACCTGGGGCCCCAAGGGGAGGTCAGCATGACTCTGCAGCCCTACGGTACACAGAGAAGTTGACCGATGACCGATGTAACTATTTCTCGCATCATCAGCAACAGCCACAGGTTCGTGCCATAGCCAAAAAAGACCTACATATTCCACTCGCCGATGAAATTACAGTGCCGTGCTGCAGGCTGGTGCAGGCTACCTACCAAGAGCAATCAAGATGTGTCATTGCGTCCCTTGCACGCATCTGGGCACCTTTCAAGGATGTTCAGCGGTGCGCCACGCAATGTGCTCAAACGGGTCAAGTGCCGGCCAAGGCACCTACCACTTCCGGTGCTGGAAGTGGAGGAACGGCAATACCTCAGCATGCCACGGAAGCGGGTTTCGAACGAGTGCCGTTGGTCGAATCTTTGCACCATGAGTCCGGACAATGCGGTACCAGCTGTCTGAGTCTATGCAATGTCTGAATGCCAACGAGCTGCAGGAGTAAGCACGTGGCGAAACTGCAAGAAGAAGTCCGAACATGACAAGTATGTCATGAGCGGGTCGCATTCTTCAGCTGGCCGAGCTGGGCTTGAGGAAAGGGGCAGATGATTTCCACTCTGTTCAAGGCTGCTTCATGCTCGTCATGTTATGGTGGCCTCAGCTCATTCGAACCATCTAAAACCACTGACGGCAACTATATGTTCGAGAATTCCTGAAGCCATCTACCTTATCTGCGCATCATGCGTGTGAGGCATTGCCATTGTCCTGATGCAGTACCCTTGCGAGCAGCTTGCGAGCATGGAGCCAGCATGCTCCGTGCAAAAGTACGGCATCAAGGGCGACTGCAGCACTCTATGCAATGCAGCCTCTCACATCACGCACCTCCGTGAAGTTTGGTTAGTGCTGCTCGGCACCTTCACTAGATCTCGGCTCGCAGAAGAGTTCCTTTTTGCAGGCCACGCTGCCAGCACCTAGCATTCGGCTCGGCAGAGTGTGGCTAGACAGGCACCTGCATGTCCTTGAGACGAAGTGCAGCATACCAAGTGAGACATGAAACGAGGACAGCCTTGTCCACTCTTGCATCTGGTGATAAAGCCTCCCTCTCAGCGGAAGAACTGATCCATTCGCTGAGTAGTTTGTGCCTAAGCTCAGCTCGACTCGAGTCTCGCTTCAGCTGCGCCGCAGTGGAGCCTTCTGATTCTCAACCAAACCCGAGCTCCGGCCTGGTTGGAGGCACCGAAGTTGCTGGTTGTCCACTGGGTGGTGTCCTGATTGCGGCGATTCCGTGTTGAGCCAAGAGCTTCCTGATGCTGAAGGAGCAATTGCTTGATTGATGCATGTGGCATCATATGGCCCCTGAGCACGGAACTGCCTTAAGCCCAGAAAATGCCTGACCCACCGCATGGGGCGAGTTTTCCAAACTTTAAACCCTCCGGGTCCGACAGCGAGGCCAGGCTGCCTGCCCGGCGGAGCCGCCCAGACCTCTCTTCAACAGAGGGCTAGAGCCTAGTACCAGATTACGCGATATCGAAATCTCGATAAACCTCGAGAATCCAAGAAATCCGAAACCACTTCTGGAGCTGAGGCATGCCGGACGTGCTGTGACTCAGGGGATGACTCTTGGGCAACATTCCGACATTTTCAGGAAAGTGGAGTCAGCGGGACACTCACAGGAAAAGGGCTCAGCGACATGGCATGATCTTGTGACATGGCCCTGCAGTGCTCCCAAAGAAGTCCGAAAGGCCTGCCAACGGTACTGCGTGCAAGGCCGAACTGCACCAGACTCTGCTGCTTCTTCAGACGCTGGAGAGGGTAGACACAGAGAATGCCTCGGATATCACGCATCATTCCAGCAACTGTTGCTGTGCACAAAGCTGGGGGCACTTGCAGCTTGCAGTTGCGGATTCCAAGCAGTTGCCCACACAAGCAGGACATGGAATCTTCTGCACAGCTTCCTCTCTGACCGGTGATCTTTCGTCCCTGTTATGCCGAGCACTCACATCTGCAAGGCTGCAATGCAACAAGCTGGAAGTACTAAGCCACTACTTCTCGTCATCTCTGAAATAATTTCCGAGCCCATCCGGGATGCGGTGAAACGCTCAACGGAACTCCTGGGCCCAGCGACACTTCCGCCCGTAGAGCGAAGCAGCTCCCCACGTTCCATCGAACCTCTCTCACACTTCACATGTCATGCGCAACGGTTAGCGCAAGCACACACCACGTCTCACCCCCAAGGCCAAGCAACGTGTCGCCAGGCGGAACAACGGCTTTCTGCACTCCTAGCAACTCCGTGAGGTCGTAGACTCGTCGACACAATATGCACTTGCGTAATTAGCATGTGACCACAACTCGCACTGGCAGTCCTAGGGTGTTGGTATGGAACAACTCGCCTCGGCTGCAGCCACGTCTAGACTGAGAAGTTGCTGCATGTTGGGTGGAGGCGAGCTGCAGCCAGTGGCTCCAGGCCCGACGAAAACCACATCACGGCCGCTCGTGTTTCTCTGGGGAAGGCCGAGAATACACTTCTCCTGAGCTACGATTTGATTTTGTATGCTCCAGAGTCCTCTAGAAAAGAAAGGCCAAGATGCAGCATACTCGTCAAAAGTCGCCGGACGTGAGCAAGGGTACTTTTGTGAAGCAGCGATCCTCAGCTTCCAAGCAGGCCAGGCGGCCAGGCCCCGTCCTATCAGCGTAGGCACTAGGACTAGGATGCACCAGGTCACCGGTAGGGCTCTGCTTGCACCAAAGACTCATCATCATGCGGTCCATCTCCCCGCCAGTGAATGCCCTGCCGTCCATGTCGAATTCTGCGAGCCCGACGAACCTGCGAAGGAGGCCAGAGTGCTTCTCCACTGCGGTTGATCTTCGACTTTTTGAGAACTTTGTACCAAATTGCCCTATCTTGCAGAAGCTGAAATGCCGAGTCACACCACTTGCCCGGGTCGTGCTGAAACTGGAGCTTCGCGATTTGACAACTCCTCCGACTTATATGCTCAACAACATTGACAGGAGACTTCTTGGAAGTGCAAGCTTGGCTCGCCAAGGAGCCGGGTCTCCATGGTAGTTGTCTATCCGCTCGTGGCTCCCAGCACGGCCCTGAGCACCGGCAGGTGAAGATGAACCATGAGCGCCCTTCCCCACACGAATGGGTCCCATTCAGCAAGATGCTGCAAAGGATGCTTCTACCAGTGTGTCATTACTGTATAGCTCGTATAGCGATGGTCTCACGATGTCTAACGCAGACTTACAGCATGCCTGTGAAGTGTTCTGAAAGCCGAGGTTCATGCGGCAATCCCCTTTCCGAGAAGTCTGACCATAGCTCCGGCATCTTTTGATTTATGCTTCCTTGGCAAGGCGGAAGAAGGTCGATGCACGTGACCCGTCTTGACGTTGCATTATACCTACTCCTTTCTGCTAAGTTCGACTATGGTACCGTGGCACTTAGAATCGCAAGTCCTGGCCGGCCTATGCACAAGACTAACTCATAACTGTCATAACTTATGGCCTAACGGCCTAACAATCACCATTCACCGAGTAGCGATGGAATGGGCTGTGTCTTGCAACGGGGAAAGCATTGATGCCTGGCGGACGGGTAGACACCCTTGATTGGGAAGCCAACCACTGCCCTGTTCGTTGCAGGCCGCGAGACCAAGGGCAGTTTTAAAAAGGGTGGCTGTGCAAGGGCTTGGCTTTGTGATGCCAACAAAAGGTAGCGCCTGGCCAAGCCTGGTGCTAACCCCACCCTCGCTCGTCCACCCACCACTCCGCACAACAGGCAAAGGGAAGGAACTGATTGCTCAATTTCTTCCGGCTTCTCCTCATCGTAAGCCATGACCATAGGCAGGCAGCGAGCCACATTCGGTCTCTCCAGCAACAACTACTGAGTGGACATGCGGTGTGGCTGTGCAGGGTAACAATGGAATCTCCTTCTCTCTCTCAAGGACAGCGGAGTCGGGCCTGAAGGCAATGTCTGGAGCCCGCTGTTGAGGCGCCGCTCCTGGAGAGGGCACATGAGGGCACTGAACGAGCAGTCTGAAGACCTTGCAGATCTTTCCGTCGACATCTGTCGACCATGTCTACCAGTTTACTGTCCTCTGTTGCAGGCCCATGGCCTACCCGCGGCATGTTGCCGCCCGACCTGCGCTCAGCCGGCTCATTATATGCTCAGCACAAGACCGGTCTCTCACCGGCCTCTGCGCCCCGTTTCACCGAGGGCAGGCTAGAAATTCTCGTCGCCGAAATGATTGCAGCAGAATTTGCCAGGAAAACTGCGTGTTCACTGCATTTGGCGACGTCCAAGCCAAGGCGTCGCAAGTATGCTTGCACGACTGTTTTCCAGCGCAAGTAAGCAATGCATGGCACCCCTTTGGCACCACGAGACTCCGCGAGCTAAGGACTCTGGAGTTGTTCGTCAACAGTCCGAGCTCCACACAAATGTCGCAACTCAGACCGAGTATTATCCGCGTGAACACAGCGCGCTGCCGGTTCACTTCGCCGGCAAGGACAGGAGGTTCGAACCTCGTTGCCAGTAGATGCTGCCTAGATATGGTGCAGATTGCGCACAGGCGAGATGCTGGAGGCAAAGACCGCGGAGGCGCGAAGCGGCCGAATTTGCAAGCGCTTACCTCAGTATCTTCTGGCACGTGCCACACGTCGCGGATGTCATTCATGTTTCGTCGAATGGAAGTCATGAACCATGGGATTTGCAACAACGCCAGCTGGTAAAGAGTTTCCGTGTGCTCCTTTGCGACCCTCGGCTGCCAGCTACGGGTTGTGACAACATGTCTGGGCTCGCCCTCGCGCCAACCACATAGGTTTGTAGCTCCCTTGCCTACCCACCCCAGATCCAGCCAAATCATGCCAAATCGGCTTGCAGACAACATAAGGTTGGGAAAGCCGCAAGATGCAAATTTGAGCTATGGAGCCATCTTCATGTTCATCAAGTTCCTGGCTTGGACAGACATGCATACGTGTTTGGCGGCGGAGCAGGTGTTGCGCTTGAGAGCAACTCTCCTCTTCGTCCACTGCGAGCTGCTGCGGGATGGACGTCACACGAGGAATGCTTCGGACCTGCCACTGCCGAGTTCACACAAAATCTCCTTTTGTGCAAGTGCAGATGGCCTGTGGAGAGAGCATGGCAGACAGCGCCGGTGAGGAGCCCAACGATTCATCGAGCACCTGCGAGCTAATTCTGCCGACACACTGCGCAAGCTGAAGAGAAAGAAAATGGCTGCGTGCCGGCGCGAAGCTGAAAACACGAAGCAGCAGCTGATCTTCGGCCTGAAGGTTCTCTTCATTCTGCCGCAAAAGAAACTGCACACATTCCTTGGAAGCAGCTCGACGCAGGACTCGGGCCGCGAGGCATGGGACATGTCTGGCAATGGTCCTCCACCGTCCAAGGCGTGGTGAGGCAACCCTCCGGCATGTAATCGCCTGACTCGGAACGCTATGAAGACCGCACGTCTACCGGCCACCGAACCGACAGACATCCTAGGAGATCGAGGAGATCTGCAGCGAATTGCGACGATATGTAGACCAACTTAACATATTACATACGTACATGTGCACATGCACACACACACACAGAGACAGAC